CGGGAGGTGGAGGTCCGGAGCCGGAGGAAGATTTCGAGCAGTTTCTGCTGCAGTCACCAACAAGATGTGAGGGGATCTTGCCTCTTTCACTGCAGAGCAGGGGAGAGCGTATACGCGGAACAGGAGCGAGTTGTGCCAGATGGACAATCTGCCAATCCAGATAAAACCCAGGTGGAGGCCTCGGAGGAGAGCGCTCTCAATTATCTTCAGAACCCAAAGGATGGAGTGGAGGGCAGGGTGATGAAAAGCTGTGAGAAGACCAACGGGAAGGCCAAGGAGATCGAGAAGATGGCAGAGGTGTTAGTCAGGCTGGTCCGCGGATAGAGAAGAGCCAGCCATCTAGACGCAGGACTGGCGGTTTACAGCCCATGAACTCCGGTCAGCTGTTGGAGATTGGCTGACACCCTGGAGAAGCTGGACCAGAGAGCCTTTTGTTTTCCTTTTTTCTTCTGTCTACATTCTGTCCGCATGTACACTCCGTTTCCGCGATGGTCTGTGGGTGATGACTTCAATATGAGTTTTGATTGTTAGGAGTTTTTGTTTGAGAAAGCAATTTTTAATTTGGAAAAATAAAATGCTCTCACATACAGGAGTTAGGGCCTGCGTTGTAAGCTACTGCAGCAGTCACATTTGTTCCTGGACTTTGGTTATTTCTGAATTTTGAGGTGCTTTCCTCTTTCTTGTGTAACCTGATAGCTCCCTGGAACTTTGGGTCTGTGTTTGAGGCTGTGACCCGGAATTGGAGTTCTCTGACACTGAAAGTGTTGAAGGAGCTGCATTATTTCTAGAAAACAACTCCATGCAGCAACTGCTGAAGAAGAAAGCAGACTTCAACTGGGAATATTGATGGGACTGACTGGGACTGATGAATCAGGAGACGAGGTGGAACATAGTATTGTCTGTATTTAGGGACTTTAACTTTTGTGTGAGACCAAAGAGGAAAGACGTATTTTGTTCAAAACTTAAATTTTACTTGGTACACTATCTGATGTAACCTGTTTGGCGAGTTTGTTTGGACAACCTAATTCAGCTCTATGTGACATGTAACCTAAAATAGGCCATCTTGATATTCTGCACAAGTTGATGTAATATCCTGGTGCATGTCAGGGGATTCTGAACATAAAATGAAAGATATTTGCAAAGGCCCTTAAGGGGTTGGGGAAGGAAAGCATGGAACTGTCTAGATCCTAACCTGGACAGGGAAGAGGCGATTTCAAGGTTCATATGTTGTCCAGCTATAAGTATATTTGACTAGCAGACCTGGCAAGTATTTGAGGTCAAAACCCTACCATGTTTTAAAACAAAACAAACAAACAAAACCTGTGTTAATAAAAGTGTTCATTTGTTTGAAAAGACAAAAAAAGAACAAAAGAAAAAAAGAGAAAAGGAAGAAAGACTTTGAACCCAGAAATTATGAGTATGTCCATTTTATTTCCTCTCCTCTTAGCTTCTTCCATTTCCATCATCTTGTAAGGAAGTAGGAGGAACCCCCACTGCTTCATGTGGGGTAATCATATCCTGCTATTGATGACATTGACAGAAGGTAGGACTGCAGTATTCCTGCCAGCAAGATATATTTCCAATTTAACACCTTCATTTTTCCGGATACACAGGGTCAAAATTCTGATTTATCAAACCAGAAGAAAAAGGGGACGGTTATAAAGAGATACACTTACTGACATACAAAATCTGAGACCATATCCCACCTAAAATTGTCCAAGTTCAGTCTATAGTTAATTTTAAAAATCATTATTATTTATTAATTTGACCAGAGAGAAACAGACAGAGAGGGAAAAAGGGGAAAACAGACCGACAGATCCAGGACTCGAATTGTGATCAGCCATGTGGACGTCTAATTCTTTGACCACCATGCCACCTGCCAGCCCCCGTAGTCAAATTTGTAAAGAAAATATAAAGTCTTTATTCTCTTATCCCCACGAATGCACATCAAAAGGATCAGAGCCCTTTCAAATGCGAGATGATGAGTGCTTTTATGCTTTCCTAGGACTCTCCTGCCTGTAGGATGAAACCATGTGATAGACATGAGTGGAAGAGACATGTGTCACTTGTTCCCTAAGAGAACTTTGTGCCAGTATGTATCCTCTATCTCTCTTCCTTTGCCACGGCAACCTCACAGGTCAGGTGTTGTAGAGCGGTGGTCCCAATCTTCCCAGTATCATAGATAAGCTTTGTGGAAGATGATCGCTCCATGGACTGGGACGTGGGAAGTTGGTCCTGGGATGATCCAAGTGCACCACATCCACCATTCACCCCATTGCCACCACTATCACATTGCTATATACAGTGAAAACAATTGCACAACGGAGTTCATGCTCCCATGGGAATTCAGTACCACTCACTGCTGACCTGGCAGGAGGCAGAGCCCAGGCTACAAAGAGCAATGGCTCCAAATGTTGTTTGCTTGCCCTCTGCCCACCCCCGTTGGGTGGCCCAGCCAATCAGATTGGCATTGGTCTGCAGCCTAGCGGTTGGGGTCCCCTCTTGTAGAAGGTGCCATATGCACTGGCCTAAATCCTTGCATGTGGAAACCACCCCATCCCATGGATCTGGAGTAGACAGGTAATGTTTTCAAAAAAGAAAGCTGTGATGTGTGAAGCCACAGAGGTTCTCAAGTTTGCGTGCTGTGGAAGCGATTAGTTATCTTGACAAATTAATTATCTGATGTTTTAATCTTCAGCGATCATAGTACAAGATCTAATGGCCTCACACATTGCCTGTCACATTGTAACTCTTCGATTCATCCCTGTATAAACTCATGGTGTAATCAAAAAGGTTTCACTTTAAGTCTCTGTATATTTATGGAGGGAAAAAAACAGCCTACCAGAGTTTTCATTTGTAAAATAAAATGAATCATTAGAGTTATTATCAATCATAACTGACTTGATCATTTGCTATAATTACAATTACATTAGTGAACATTAGACACAGTTTCATCTACATAGATAGAGACCTGAAATTGCCAAATAAATTTTTAATACTCTATTAAGGAAAATGCTTCTAATAATGCATCTGGCCTGAATCTGATAAAGAAAATCACACCATGAGGAGATACACAACCAAGACTACACTGGTTGGCTTCAAAATTAGTCAAGACTAAGTATAGCATCTGAGATACAAAATATTTAAATAAATGATTAATTCTTGCAGTCATTTTTAAGAAGTTGACACCAATATTGGACTATAAAATATTTTAAAAATAATCTAGGTATTAGGTCATCAGGAAAGTCATGACATATTTTAAATGCATCATGACCTCCCTGATAACCCAGTGGTAGATGCATTCATCCTTGAGTTTATTTTTGTGTTTGTTATGTTAAGTGACATTTCCAGTTCACAAGTTTAGTTTATTTTACTCTCATGGCTATGGTTTCAACTTAGAAACATTGTTAGGAGGATGTACAAGTGTTAAAAGTGTTTTTTTGGGGGACCTGCCCATGTCATAATGGTTGCATCACTGGGCTCACACATGGTCGATTGCTGTTTGAGTCCCAGACCTGGTGGCTGTAACTCACACCAGGTGCATGTGCATGCATGCCCAAAATCCCGAGAGGAGAATGAAGGAAAAGGGAGTGTGGTGTGGGCATCCCTCCAGAGGGTGATTTCTTGCTTTCTGTCTCTCTATCTCTCTCTATCTTTTGGCAAGTGCACATGCCCTATAGCAAAAAGCTCTCTTAAAAAAAAAAAAAGAGTTTTTTTTTTGTTGTTGTTGTTTGTTTGTTTTCCTATTATGGGCACCTTAAAAACTGGACCAAAGTCTCTTGGCATAAGCACTTCTGAAAATTTAGTCAGTGACAATTATAAAATTAGTACATGGTTCCAGGACAAAATTCCTTAAGAGGTTAAGCTTAATTACAGATAAAGACACAGGTATTTCAGTGCTGCAGCCAAAGTGAATGGTGGAGATCAGAAAATGGAGATCTATTTTGGCAGAACTCATTGGTAGACCCATCTGCTATGGGTCTCTCGTGGTTCTGCACATCTTCTGAGCAGAGATACTGACAGCTTTTGTTCTAGGTAAATTTTTCAAAGATGCTTAGAGAGTCAACAATAATAGAAGACAAGGTAGTATATTCCCTCAGAAAAAAGTGTGGGTTTGGTTGGTAATGTCTTCCCCTGGAGCAAAGATTGAGTAAGTTTTTTGGTAGCTAATTACCAAAAATTAGGGTTTCTTAAATTCAGGATACTTCAGTTGTGATGTAAACCCCCTTAGGCCACTTCACATTATCCTGCAAGGCTCAGAGGGCAAGAGGAACTGGCATGAAGCTGGAGTCATGCTGCTTCCTATGCCATGAATTGTCAAGTTCTTCATCTCTGACCCAGGAGTTTTGTGTCTTCTGCCAGGAAATTACAGCGGGCTAACATTTCTCAGTTTGCAGCTAGGGAAAAAAACCCCTCATATCATTCACATTTATTTTTCTTTTTAAGACTTTTGCAATAGGGCACATGTGCTTGCTGGAGAGGAGAGAGATGGCAAGAGAGAAAGTAAGAAATCAACACCCCTCCTTGGGGCGTGGCTATACCACATTCCTCTTGGGGTTTTGGGCACACACGCACACATTCCCAGAGTGATTTTCAAGCCACCAGGTCCAGGACTCAAACTATGGTCAGCTATGTGGCAATCCAGCTGCCTTAACCACCACGCTACCTGGTGGCCCCTTTTCACATTTCTTGACAGTGTTATCTCTTACATTAATTTGTGTAATAGGTAAGTACATTACTCCCAGTGAAAGTTATCCAAATCCAAACCTTCGCCCACTCCATGCTTGTGACAAATACATAGACTTCTCGTGTCTCTATTACTACATTTATTCTATACATCTGTGGCTGAGGAATGTAACTCAGATTCATCACTTTTTCATCAAAGACTTACTGAGCACCTATTGCACACAAGTAGAAGTTGTAAAGATGGCATTTTTAGTGCATTGTAAGGTATCACCCAGTGTATCTTCATATGGAATGAAGTATGCATAACCATAACGATGGATGTGAATTGACGTAAAAATCAGTATACCTGTTTCAGTTCTAATTCTCATAATAATGACCTCTCAATGGCTTCTTTTCTTCCTCTCAGTCAGCATTTCTGAACCTTTATATTATCTACCTTTCTATTATTTCCTCTTACTTATCTCCCTACTTACTATGTCCCTATTTAACTGAGCCCTACTTATTAAGCAAAATCTTTTTTGATTGTTTGTGTAGATAGTATGTTCAGTCATAAGACTGGCCCTGCTAGAAGGACACTACACCTGTTAAACAGACCTTTGATTCTCCTACTCTTAATAAGCACTAGGGAAATTGCAGGGGTGGCTGTCAGTTACTTAGTTGGTAGAATTTTTTTAGAACATTAAAAGATGACAGGATCAGCCTTGTGGGCCTAGTGGTTAAGGGAGCTGGATCCCACATAACTGACCAATGGTTCAAATCCTGGTCCCAGTGACTTGAAAAACATGCCAGGCACATGTGCATGTGTGCCCAATATTCCACAGGATGCAGAAAGGGAGGGGAAGGAATTGTGGTGTGACCATGCTCCATCGGGGTGCATTTTCCCTCTAGATAATTTAAAAAAAAAAAAAAAAGACAGAATGGCTTAAAATCTTTCCTGAGTTGTCAGAGGGAGCTTCTTGAGAATGTGATGGGCTCTTTATTCTAATTAGGTAAGCATTGAATTGTTTGTTGGGGCCTCTTCCAGAAACATGAAGGACAGGGAGGACTGTCTCTTTCTTTGGGATAATGGGTGTCATAGATTACCCTGCCTAGCTTTTTCCATGTGTTGACGTTTTTGCATCCCACTGGCGAACATCACTATGACTCTTGTGACGACTACACATCTTTTTATTGTGAAATAGTGATAACAGATTAAGGAAAAACCCACCAATCAACAGTCCCTTCTGTGTCCTTAGAGATCAGTGACTAGATCAAGAACATCTAGGCTAGAAAACCTCCAAATTATTCTACTGGGTCATCAGGAAAGTCATGACACAGTTTTGCATAGAAAAACCATGTCATGATTTCCTGATGACCTGATATTTCTCTACAATAATCAATTAGCAATTAAACTCCATGGACCTTCAAATTTGTATCACTTAGTTTTTATGATTAGACATCAAAACTCGCTTTCTCGAGACCAGCAGTTAGCATAATGGCTATGTCGCTGGACTCCCATGTAGCCAACCATGGTTTGCGTCCCGGACCCGGTGGTTTAAACTCATGCTGGGCGTGTGTGCATGCGTGCCCAAGATCCTGAGAGGAGAATGGAGGAGAAGGGATTGCGGCATGGCCATCCCCCCTGGGGGGTGATTTCTCGCTTTCTATCTCTCTGCCTTTCTGGTGAGTGCACGCGCCCTATAGCAAAAACCTCTCCAAAAAAAAAGAAAAAAAAAAAACTCGCTTTCTTGCTAGTAGAAGTCTATCTTTGGCATGGTGCTGAAACTAGCAGATCTTAATATTTTAAATTGTGATTATAGGGTAGTATAAAATAACATTTTCATAAGTAACTATTTTAGCCCATTGTATTGCTATAACAGAAATGTCTCACTCTGGGTGATTTATAAAGAATAGAGTTCATTTAGCTCCTGATTTGGGTGTCCCAGGTCAAGGATCCGCATCAGGTGAAGGTCTTCCTGTTGACAGAGCTCTGAGATAGTGCAGGGCATTGCAGAACGGATTAGAGCAGAAAAAGAGCATGTGTGTTTGTGTCCGTGTGTCTGTCTCATTCCCTCTCCTTATTTACAGACCAAGATTTAATCATGAAGGCCCAACCCTGATGACCTTAATCATAACCACCACCAAAGACCCCACCTTCCAACAGCGTAGCTGGATTAAGTTTCCACTCTCTTTTAAACATTTTTATTTTTTAAATAATTTATTATTTACATCTATTGTACATCTTAGTATGGTACTATGTGATTTTTTCAAAGTATGTATGCAGTGTGTGATAATCAAATCAAGGATATGGCCATGTTCATCATTTTTAATAAAAAAGTATTATATTATGTTGTGTACTTTGGATTTTTGTTCTACTTAAATTAGTTTTCACCTTCTTTATATAATGACCATACCTTAACACATGAATTTTTTTTATTTTGAGAGTTTTTTTTTTTTTTTTGCTATAGGGCGCGTGCGCTCGCCAGACAGACAGAGACATAGAGACAGAAAGCGAGAAATCACCCCCCAGGGGGGATAGTCACGCCGCAATCCCTTCTCCTCCATTCTCCTCTCGGGATCTTGGGCATGCGCACACACGCGCCCGGCGTGAGATTTAAGCCACCGGGTCTGAGACGCGAACCACGGTCGACTACGTGGGAGTCCAGCGACATAGCCATTACGCTAACTGCTGGTTCCCAACACATGAATTTTTGAGAGACACATCCAAACCATATCAACAAACACATAGAAGTTTCAAATTTTTAAGAAATTTGGATTCATATATCACTGATTTATTAAAAAGAAACAAACTATATGGAAATTTAATGAATAAATGTTATGATTTATAAAAATCATGTAATCTGGTATTTAGAATGAATTTTGAAAGAAATTTTAAGTATTTATAATAGACATCAAGCTTACATATTTAATAAAATGTTCATATTTATTCTTTTTTTTATTTTTGGAGAGGTTTTTGCTATAGGGCACATGTGCTCACCAGACAGAGAGAGAGACAGAGAAACAGAAAGCAAGAAATCACCCCCCAGGGGGGATGGCCACGCCGCAATCCCTTCTCCTCCATTCTCCTCTCGGGATCTTGGGCACACATGCACACGCGCCCGGCGTGTGTTTTAAGCCACTGGGTCCGGGACGCGAACCGCGGTCTTCTACATGGGAGCCATTATGCTAACTGCTGGTCCCCATATTTATTCTTTATTTTCTTAATTTTATCTTTGTTTTAAATATTCTTTTCAATTTTTAAAAATATTGGGATCTTGGGTCAAGCAGATGGCATCTTGGTTACATCACTGGACTCCTACATGTTCAACCACAGCTTGAGTCCTGAACCTAGCAGCTTTAAACTCACTCCAGAAACGTGTGTGTGCATGCCCAAAATCCTGAGAGGAGAAGAGAAGAGAAGGGATTGTGGCATGGCCATCCTCTGTGGGGGTTGATTTCTTGCTTTCTGTTTTTCTGTCTCTCTGTGTCTTTATGGTGAGCACTCATGTGCTCTATAGCAAAAATCTCTCTCTAAAAAAAAAAAAGGATCTTAGAGGGACCAGATAATAGTACTTTTTCTTCTGATCAAATTGAAAAATAAAGCTAAGTAGATGGAGGCCAAAATATCACCTTAATATGGATATACTCAGACATATGGGGGTCAAGTAAACCTTAACTAGATTCAAGAATTGGGAAGACATATTCATATACCCATGAGTAAAACCAGTCTGGGGCAAGTTTTCTGTTGTGAGACATAGCTGTGTCTGGTGGAACAGAAAACAGTGATTTCTCTCTGCCTCCAACAAACTCTGAAGTGGAAAAAAGTTGAAGCTAAGGAGGTAGGCCAGTACCAGTCATTGACTTTGATGGCTATTGGCTATGAAGAAGCTGAATGAATCTTGGAGCATGACTATGGATTACTGTAAACTTAACCAGGAGGTAGCTCTAAGCATAGCTGCTTTCTCATTTGAGTTGTCTTCATTATTTCACCACAATACCCAGTAACTGTTATATTGCTATTGATCTGGAAAGTACTCTCTCCGTCCAGAGCAATTTGCAGAAACCACCAAAAGCAGTTTGCTTTTGTCTAGTAAGATCAATAATACACACCTTCATCTTACCTTAGGTCAAATCAATTTTCTTGCTCTCTGCAGCAAGATCAACAGATTTTTTAGCATCTTAACATCTCATGGAATATCACCCTAGCACACTATATTGATGGCATCATACTGATTCTACCTGATGAACAGCAAGAAGCAAGTTGCTTAAGTGCTTTAATAAGAGGTAGGAGAAAGAGGG